CATAGAGCCCAGCTTCTCGGATAATCTGCTCTGCATACATGTTGAAAAGGTATGGAGACAGGATGCATCCCTGGCGTACACCCTTCCCAATTTAGGGCATTAGTTTACAGAAACAATAGTTTTCTTTTAGAAACAGGCAAAGACTATCTTTTTATAAGTTTTTTATAAGCTTTGTTATACAACTTCTGTGTAGGAGTTAATCTGGTCTTACACTGCAATATACTGGGTTGCAATATTGTCTAGTGACTTTTGGAGAGTTTTAAAGACATGCTGGAATTTTTTTTAAAATTTTTTTTTTTATTATTTTTTGTGTGTACCATCAAGTTAGATCTGACTGGTACAGGAGGAAATTGTCCCTCCTTCTCCGGCAGAGCATCTGGTGGATTCGAACCGTGCACCTCTGGGATTGCAGTGCAGCTTCTTGACACTAGGCCACCAGAGCTCACTGATGCTGGAATTTTTTTAAGAAGACTCCCAGGCCTGCAGTGCTTGTGGCCACTCCTGTTACTATTCCTGGCCAGACACTAAAGGGAGGAGTCCCACACATGCCTGTTCATGTGTAAGGTTTTGGTTTAGGAGAATAGGTATTAATTCAGAGTTGGTTGTGAATGAAACAGGGGGAAGTAGATAGTTCCAGTCCAATTGGTTGGCAGGCGGGAATGGATGGTGTTTCTTGCTTTTAGGCATCCTTAGAAGTTGACTTTGAAGAGAAGCCAAATCTGGTCTGTGTTGATGTTCTGTTCATATGACCTGAAAATGTAACTAAGTATGATAGAGTTAGGGGTTGAAGAGATAAATTATTGATAGTAAGTACTGGTTTCTTTAAGGTCAGTCTTTTTGTTGGGTGATGTACAAAGAGACGAAGAAACAGGATAGTTTGTAACAGCATGCAGTGCTAATCTTGATGGTGCAGGGAGTTTATATTAAGTAACGAAAGAGAGAAATCTGGGCTTTTTCCTAAGCAGAAGGCAGAATGAGTTCGGGGTAAGTTTGATGAAAGTTTTGTATGTGGGGTTGGTTGGGGTAATGGAAGTTCTTTATGGTTTTGTTTTTTGGTAGTTGTGGAATATGAATGAATTGGTTAGAAAGGAAGATGGGGTTGGGATAAGAATTTTGCATAGGATAATTTTTCAAGGAGAGAAAGATTGTCTAGAATGACATAGGTGGTAATGGGAGGGATGGTTTGTGACAGGTATGTAGCCTAAGACAATAGGCCTGGTGATTGGGAGTGGGAGGAAGTTTTGGGGAAAGGATTTGACAGCTTTTTTTAAAAAAAATATGTGATGTTTTGAAGGCCATATCTAGAGCATTTAGTTAAGAGGGCTTCTAATGAAGAAATAGGCCCTGTTTTGTATATAGAGTGAAATAGGACAACTCTGGTTCAGGTCTAGTTTTTAATTGAGCCAGGGGTGAGAATCTAATCTGTAATGGATAGTTGGGTGCATATCTTGCAGGAGGACAGCTGTAGATTCACTTGGAAAAGCAGTGAGGCAGGGCTATTAATGATAGAAAAGATAGGTTCAGAGAGAACTTTTAGTGATGATTATGGAAAAGATGATGAGGAGCGGAGATCTCATATTTACTTAGAGAAGGAAGATTAAGCAGGAAGTATAGAAGGATATTTGATTGGGAGTAAAATCTTGGAGGGACTGCTATAGCCATAGATCAGTGGTCTAGGAGAGAAACTGATCTACCGTACTTGAATTATTAGTCATTGCATGTGAGATTAGTCAGATTTCCAGTCTTGGGTCTTTAGAAAAGGAGCCCTGGTGACACAGTGGTGGAAGATTTAGCTGTGAAGGAAGAATTACGGTATGAGTTCATCAGATCCTCCAAGCAAACATGATGGTGCAGTGTGTTTCTGTGAAGACTGATAGTATTGGGAATCCCATGAGGCAATTCATTCTGTCCCACAGTGATGTTGTCTGTTGAAAGTAGCATTGAATTTGGTGGACTCTGGAGATCTCTAGGGAGCTGGAGGTGATAAAAATACTGGCTTCGTTGACTCTGGGATGTACTGCAGTCTAGAGGTGCAGAGATATGTTCCCACATGACAGGAAGATAAAGGCTGAGGTTTGGAAAGGTGTTGGGGCAGCAGAAGGGATGAAGACCTCTAAAGAGATGGACTGACATAGTGCCTGCACCAGTGGGCTTAAGTGTGTCAGAGAGGAGTATGGCACAGGATAGGACGGGGTTCAGATCTGTCATTCATGAAGTTTACTGTGAGGCTACTTGACTTGACAACACAAAATGACAAGATGAGAAAGTTCTATGTGTGGTGAAAATCTGTCCTGCTCAGTGTGACCAGGGGGAGAGACTAGGCGAGCCAGGCATGGTGGGCAGGTTTCTGTCTCACTTCTCCAACTGCCGGTGTCACTGTGAGCAGCACTATCATCCCAAACCTGACAGTAATAGTCAGCCTCGTCCTCAGCCTGGGTACTGCTGATGGTCAGGGTGGCCGTGTTCCCTGAGTTAGTGCCAGAGAATCAGTCAGGGATTCCAGAAGGCCGCTGGTTACTCTTGTAGATGGTCAGCACAGGGGGCTGGCCTGGCTTCTGCTGGTACCAGTAAGCATTTTTATTTTCAATATTGTTTCCTCCACAGGTGAGGTGGGCGGTCTCTCCCAGGCCCACTGACACTGAGGGTGCCTGAGTCAGCTCATAGGAGGCTGCAGGGCCTGCAAGAGAGAGGAGAGTTAGGTTACAGCTGAGGGGCTCAACTCCAGGAGGTCTAGCTTTCCCTGAACTGAAAAAATCTGTGTATCCCAGAGCCCTTTCCTTTCTGCCCCCATCACAGGGTCCTGCGGCTTGGCTGGAGGAGGAAGCCGCTGCATGAAGGACAGCTCTCCACTGGGCATAAGTGGTGCCCCTAAGGCTCCAGCCCTATGAGTCCCTTGCAGGGTAACCCTCTGAGCTCAGAGTCTGACCAGACCTGTCTGGGAACTGTAGTTGCAATAGAGGGACAACTGGGGGCAGCACCTGTGCAGTGAGCAAGGAGAGTGAGGAAGAGAGGGCTCCAGTTCATGATGTTGATGCTCAGAGTCCTGCTTCTGTGAGGATGCTGCCTGTGGTCTCCCTGGGCTCTCTCATTTTGTTTTTGAAGAGTCTTCAGTTATGCAAATCATCAGAGCTCAGGGCTGCCTGGAGGGAACTGTGTGGCTGCAGAGAATCCTCAGCCCTGGGGACACAGAGAGGGAGGGTTGGGGGCCCTGCATCTCACACTCAGTCCTGGGACCTCTCCCATGCCAATCCACAACTCTGAGCCAACTGTTCAAGTCTACAACTTGTCCTGGGCTAACTGCTGGGTGGTTTGGGGGGACATTTATTTCTAATTATGTGTAAAACATAGATGTCTATACCGACAAGGTGATCCTGGAATCTTTCCTCGGGGGGACCAGAGAGGCACTGTGTGGATGTTGGGTTTGTCCTAGAGCTCTAGGCTTTTCTTCTGCCCATTCTGAGTCTGAGGGAGGTGTTAGTTTTAGTCCAAGATCAGAGGTGTTCTGTCCTTGAACATTTTGGAGGAGTCTGATGATAAAAATGGTACTATATCTTTCACTGTGTTGTCTTGTTTTACATTCAAGGACCCACTGTGCCTGTCTATTTCACCCTGTCCCATCGATGAGACCTGGAGCTCAGAGGGGTGCAGGTTTCCATCCAGATGGACAGCCAGGAGTGCACAGTCACAGGTGCCTTGGGGAAGGGAAGGTGCTACTTGTCAGTCTCTGTCCTATTGTGCATCCAGGACAAGTGACAGACACTATGTTCTTCGGTCCTCACGGTGCAGTCAAGGCCAGGGAAGAATGATGAGTTGAAAGCTAGGCTTGCTTCAGGAGATGATGAGAGCCAACTCTCGGCTCCTCACACCTCCTGTGATTGTGTGGTGAGGTACTTTCAGGTGCTGGGAAAACATCACATCATACGTACAGTGAGTGAGCTGTACATTCATGAACTGTGCATGTGTGTGCCAGGCACTGGGAATCCCAGGAGTTTAATGAAAGTGCAGACATGGATGTGGGAGTAACATCTACAGACCATAGAGAGAAGTTATGTAGCATGACTTGTAGTTCCCCGGTAGTTAGGGTGGGAATGGGGTCATGTGTCCCAAGAAGATGGTCTTTTTCTATAATTATGTTTTATTAATTTTCATAAACATTTACAGAGATTTTGGGTTTCCATTCATTCATTGTTGCACTATTCTCTCTACCCTCCTCCCAGTTTGTTCTTGT